CACAAATGCACAATATCCAGAGGTGGACCTCCTATCATCAACACATCCAGCCCAATCCGCATCTGTATACACTTCTATTTTCATATGACCATTATTCTTGAAGAGTATACCTCTCCCTGGACATCTCTTTAAGTAGGCAATGATCTTTTCTACTACAAGGAGATGGGTGGTCCTAGGAGAATGCATGTATTGACTGACAACACTGACAGCAAGAAATATTTGGTCGGGTTAGACAGAGATAAAGAAGTTTCCCAACCAGCCTTTAGTACATAACCCTGTCATCAAGGAGTTCTCCACTTTCTACACTTATGGTTAGGCTCAATGGAAGTATCAGCAGGTTTCACTCCTAACTTGTCAGTTTCTTCCAATAAGTCCAAAACATACTTCTTTTGGGAGATGAAAATGCCATGCTTAGATCGAGCTACCTCAATTCCTAGGAAATAGTGTAACTTTCATAGGTCTTTCACTTCAAATTCCTTGTGAAGGTGATGTTTAAGGGTTTCAATTTCACTAGTGTCACTTCCTGTTATCACAATGTCATCTACATAGATTGCAAGTAGAGTTAGGGAATGACCTGTCTTCTTAAAGAAGAGGGTGTGATCTGATTGAGCATGTATGTATCCGAATTTGTCCAAAGCCAGTCTAAACCTATCAAATCAAGCTCTCGGGGATTGTTTCAGCCCGTACAAGGCCTTCTTCAAAAGGCAAACTTTCTTTCCTGCTTCTGTACTATAAAAACCAAGGGGTAACTCCATGTATACTTCCTCTTGCAAGTCTCCGTTGAAGAAGGCATTCTTAACATCCAGCTGAAATAATGGCCATGAGAAGTTTGCAGCAATGGATATAAGAACTCTGATAGTGTTCATTTTTGCAACAGGTGCAAAGGTTTCTATATAGTCTATGCCATAAGTTTGTGTGAATCCCTTTGCAACCAATATGGCCTTATACCTCTCTACAGTACCATCAACATTATATTTCACAGTAAATACCAATCTGCATCCAACAGGTTTCTTCCCTTCAAGTTGGTTAACTAGTTCTCATGTGTTGTTCTTGACAAGAGCATCCAGCTCTACTTGCATTGCTTCCTTCCATTCAGGTATCAAAAGAGCTTCTTGCACTTTTYTGGGTATAGGAATAGMARAAATAGATGCCAAGTAAGATCTGTAGGATTCTGAGAGACAATTATAGGAAAGGAACTTGGAGATGCAATGGGTAGTGGATGAGGTACAACGACGCTTCCCTTTACGAATAGCAATTCGAAGATCAAGGTCATCTGTCGGTGAAGGCTGAACCTCTGTAATAGTGGGATCAACAATGGGAGCAGTAGTAGTGTCTAGATTTGGAGTTATAAAAGATGTTGGGACTGGTTTAGATTGTTGTTGAGTACAAGAATCAACCTGCCTCCACCACTTTCTGTGATACACTTTCAACTCCCTACATTTTTGACAACCTTCTTCACAACTCCCCCCGTTAGTAATCGGGACAGGTAAAGGAACTCTTGGAGCTGAAACTGAAATCCCTTCCTCACTATTCTCCCCCTAAGGAGAAGCCTTATGATAGTAGGGCATATCCTCAAAGAAAGTGGCATCCATGGACACAAAGCACTTCCCTGAAATTGGCTCATAACAGCAATATCCTTTCTGATTTTGTGCATACCCAAGGAAAATACACTTAGTGGCTTTGGGATCAAACTTGGAGCGATGATGTCCAAGGATTTGAACAAAACAAGTACACCCAAAAGTTTTTGAGGGGAATAGTGAATAGGTCCTTATCTGGATATAGAAGACTAAACGGGGTTTGCATGTTTAGGACCTGTGAAGGAACCCTGTTAGTGAGGTATATGGTTGTACGGATTGCATCTCCCCAGAAGCGTATGGGAACATTGGAGTTGAGCATAATGCTTCTGGCTACCTCTAAGATATATCTGTTTTTTCTCTTAGCAAACCCGTTTTGCTGAGGTGTGTGAGGATAGGTGCTTTGATGAATGATCCCATGATCAAGGAGATAAGATGCCAAGGGTTTTGCAAAGTATTCCTTAGCATTATCAGATCTAAGAATCTTGATCTTGATTTCAAATTGAGTTAGGATCATCTGATGGCAAGCTTGGGTCAAAGAGGGGACCTCATCTCAAGAGTGCATAAGATAGACCCATGAAAAACGGGTATAGTCATCAACAAATAATAAGAAATATCTGTACCCCCCATGGTGGGAGTATGGTAGGGCCCCCAAACATCGGTATGCACAATCTCAAAAGGAAGGTTGCTTCTTTTATTACTTAAAAGATAAGATGATCTACTATGTTTTGCAAGTTCACAACTTTCACATTTTAACCTAGATACTTCTACTGACTCAAACAAGTTTGGAAAAAGACTCTTTAAACACCCAAAAGATAAATGACCTACGCGGTTGTGCCAAAGCATAATCTTACTACAAGACTGAGAAACAAACAATTTCCCTGCTTCACTCTGCTCCCCCTGTAAATGTTCTAGCAGGTAGACTTCATTCATCTCACGGCCAATCCCAATCACCTTCTTCATTTCCAAATCCTAAAAAATACACCAATCAGGGAAAAAAGTTATCAAACAGTTTTGATTTTTAGTAATACTACTAACTGAAAGTAAGTTAGCACTAAACTTGGGAACATGCAAAGCTGAGGATAGGGTGATGGTATCTGATAATCCGATGTCTCCATTGCTAGAAATTGGTACATGAGAGCCATCAGCAATAGAAACTTTGTCTCTCCTAGAGGATAAACAATAGGTGCTAAATAGAGTAGATATACTAGTCATATGATCTGAAGCACCTGAATCTATTACCTAGGAAGGTCTAGTATTACCTAGGACAGAAGCATGACAAGCAATAGCTCGTGTACCTGTATGAGCAAGGGATGAAGTATGATGTTGAGCTGATGTAGACTGAGCTGAATTACTAAATTCATTTTCTAGCTGAGTCAGAGCAGCTCGGACTGCAGCTAGGGTATCTAGAGGAGTGCCTCTTGTGCCTGATGAAGTTGTACTATCAGTGTTGATAGCCATATTAGCATTCCCTTTCTTATTTATGAGTTTTGTTGGAATTAGATGAGGGTGCAACTTCCAATAGGTGTCCTTAGTATGTTTAGGTTTCTTGCAGTGTTCACATACTAAGTCATTCTTAGCTTCCTTCTTCTCCTTATCCCCCCCCCCCCAGATTTAGGGATTTAGGTCTAACTGCTACCAAGGCTGATTCGGAGGGCTGTTGTTGCAACATAACCTTTCTCCTATTTTCTTCACTATGCACTAGGGAATAGGCTTGTGATAAAGTCACACCATCTCTTGTCAACAACTGTTGTCTCACAATGTCATATTCAAAGTTCAGACCAGCTAGTAACTCAAAAACGCTGTTAGTTTCAACCTGCTTTCTATATGTTTGTGCATCTTTCTGACTCTCCCACTCAATTGTTTCAAGATGGTCAATTTCATGCCGCAGGGATTTTAAGGTTGAAAAGTAAATAGAGACTTGCTTTTTTCCTTGCCTCAGATTTTTAACCTCACATTTTAGCTCATAAGCCCTAGCAACATTAAGAGGCTAAAGTAAGTTTCCTTCATAGCATCCCATATTTCCTTAGTTGTTTTGGCTTACAAGTAGTTTCGGCTGATGTATGGCTGCATAGAGTTGCACAGCCATGTCATCACCAAAAAATTCTCTTGGACCCACTTAGAATAAGTAGGGTCCTCCTTGGAGGGTTCCTTCACATCCCCTAGCAAGAAGTTCAACTATCCTCTACCCCCAATAGCCACCATGGCTGATTGGGCCCATTCCAAGTAGTTTGATCCATCAAACTTAACAGTTGTAATTTGAAAGGTGTTTTCAGTCATGTTACCTGAACCACCAGTCCCAAAAGCACATTTCCCTTGGTTCTTGTACTCAATTCTAAGTTAAGAAGAGGCTTTAAACTACTGTGACAAGAAAAAGCTAAATTTCAAGGCTGATAACAGCCGACTTTATGAAGAAAAAAACCAAGAAAACTGATTGCTACCTTCGATCTTCAATCTTGATCAAGAATCGATCTTGATCACTCAATTCCTGCCTGATTCTTCCTAATTACAAGAAGCTCTCTCCAATCTTAGGACAGATGCTAAAGCCTTCTTGCAACCTCCAAGAATCAGCCGAAATAAGGATCTTTCTGAACTTTCAGCCCTAAACAATTATCATGTGGTTGGCTGAATTAAATCCACATGAGAAACCCTAGATCTAAAGCTTTGATACCAACTTGAAAGAAGAAGAAGAAGAAGAAGAAGAAGAAGAAGAAGAAGAAGAAGAACTGTTAACTGTATTACAGGTTTGAAGAGAAGAGAGAGAGAGACGGAGACAGAGAAGAGAGGAGAAAAGAAAGAAGGGGTTCAGTAGTGAATAATCTGCTGCCCCATACACTCCTTTATTTATAGCTTTTAGGATCCTTACAAGAAATGGAAATAAACAAAAATTAGAAACAATAAGGCCAGCCTGCCCAACTTAACAGAAATTAGAAACTAAAGAAATTAGAAACTACTAAAAAGAAATTAGAAACTACTAATAAAAGAAATTAGAAACAACTAGGTGTGGGTATGAAACCACACACACTAGAGCCTGAGTGTAGGTAAGGAACCCCACACTCGTGGCTAACCAACTATTTCTTCAAAGACAAGAAAATTTTCAGAATGAGGCAAGAAAGAAGCAGAGTAGAAGGTAGGTGGAAAGAACAAAAGAAGTCTGGCCCCTTGCCATTTCGCATGTATATTTTATCAGCAACAGATGGAGAAAAAGGGCCCAATCCCCCAGGCCCCCAAAGCAACTCCTATGTCTGCTCTTTAAGTCATTGGTCTTCTCTGTCTCTCTCACCCACTTTGCATTTATTCTGCAACAAACTCAACTTCACCGAAAATATGGCGGGGCTCTTGATTTCATTTTTCATAACAGGTTTTTGGAAATGTAAAGAAAATAAAGGACATGTTTTGACAGCACCTTCACAAACATATTTGAAGTATGTCTCAACTCTCAAGTCTCAACCACCTCCATTCATATGCTAACATCCAAGACTTGACGCCAATGCAATACAGGAAAACTCACCCTCATTTAGTGCAGAGATTGCTCCATCGCTTGCTATCTGATGGTTTTTCTTTCCTTAGAATCCATCAACTTTCTCACCTATTTTTCCACCTCTTTGTTGTACCCACAAACCCATCTTCCACCTCATTTGTGGATAGAGCCATCCCATCCATTTCTTTCCTCAGGTTATAGATTGGTGGTTTTCTTAAAATTTTAAATATTACTGAAGGGTAGAAAGGTCTTTCCATTGGTTTCTGTCAAATATAACATTGCAGGGGAGGTAAGTCTTGTTGGAAACCAGAGGACAGGAATAAGTATTCATGAGAAACCTCAGGGGAGGTTCAATTCTTTTACCCTAAAAGAAAAAAAGAGAATACAAGAAAGGTGAGCAGAAGTTACCTGAAAGAACAAAGAAAAACAGCCCTTTGCCCAAAAGCACCGCAGGCAGAAAATCAACCCAACAAAACCAACAACAAACTACTAGCTTAATCTAACAACAAAAGCACCAAAACCCCTAGTAATTGACACAAGACTTAACTTCAGTAGGAACTTTTCTTGATTACACAGCATCTTCAGAGACTTGCAAATGACCCCCTTTACTTCTCTTACAAACTTTCTTAATTTTCTTCACCTTTTTGTTAGAGGCAACCCCAAGTAACCTCATCATTAATATGCAATGATTGGACCAAAAAGTTATTAGAAGTAGGCATCAAACTAATAAAAATGTTGCCTTTCCTACTGGTAGATTAATTTCTAGCCAAAATAGGTCCTTCTAAAGGTAAACCCCTGACTTGTTATGTTTTCAGCAAACGAAAGATGAGAAAATATTGGTGTGGGCCACAAAATAGGTTCTTCTAATAAACATGTTTGCACCATTCAGTTATATTGATGTGGGCCACAAAAGAGATGATACTCAAAGTTATTTCTCATTTCTCAATTTTAGTCCTCAAGCAGAAAATAGAGATACAATTGCAATGAGACCAAGACTATGAGTTTGAACAATAATTGAGCAAGTTACGGCAGACTGGTTAACCAATAATCGAACAATAATTGAGCAAGTTTGATTTCTGTAAAATCCCGAACCGAAACCAACTGGTTAACCAGTTGATTGGTTTGATTTTTGACCGGTTCAATTCTTTGATTTGCTTTCCTCGGTTTGGTTCGGTTTTTCAGTTTTTATTGAGCACCCCTAATGTTGACATGTTCATACAGTTGACTAATGCATTAAAGAACACATTATATGCATGTTGTTTATGACAGTTTGAATATAGCAACTATATGGTGATCAGGCATGTGGTTTTAGTTTTAATAAGCAAGTTGGTGTCTGCATGTGTTGAGGTATCTCTGACATGATAAAATAATAAAAAATGGAGTATTGTTTATAAGATAGATTCATGAGCTATGCTGCCCAGATACAATCATATAACAAATATATGATAAACAGAATTTACACTTAGAATTGGAGTACTGTATATGCAACTGGCACCCAGAACATGTGGTAATACTGGTAGGAATTAGTACAGATTACAAAATTCACATCCTCATGTACAACAGCTTTAAAGAAGTTTCATATACACCTTACAGACAGATTCAAGTCAACTTGGTTACTAGGGTCTTCTGAAACCTTCATGAGTGGCAATGCAACCAGCAAAAAGGTGAGTGCATCCCCATAAGGTGGTAGCCAACAAATTGAATAACCAAGTAACCAATGTAACTTTATATGTGCATTGTCATTGCCAAAGGAAAATCAGAGATTATTCATCATCATCTAAGCCTGTCCCAACTAAATGGGGTTGGGTACATGAATCCTATTTCGCCATTCCTTTCTGTCCAGTGCCATATCCATTGCCGAATTATGGGTGCTTAAATCATTTCTTACTACTTCCATCCAAGTCCTTTTCAGTTTGCCCCTAGCTCTTCTATCCACTTCAACTTGTAACAGATCACTGCTAACGGATTCTGTAGATGGTCTTCTACGCTGGAGACTATTATCAAGAAATCTAATCAGGCTAATATGTCCCCACAAAAAGCCAAGGTTGAGAAAATTTTAGTAGACTATGTGATATATAATACAAAAAAATGACTGATGTCAAAACAATAACTGGCTGTAGAAGAAAAATCAAATAATCCAGAACGATATAATAAGAGGTGAAATATACATAAGGTGTGGTATTTTGTGTCCTTCAAACATAGAATTCAAGTTTAAAATAAAGGAAAACGGAATTGTGCAGTACCTCAAAGATGTCAAGATTGATTAGGAAGCTGTGCAAATGTTCCTGTGTTGGGAATGCAACCCCCTACCATCATTTGCTTATATACTGCATATGCAAGGTCAGGATTGCCAGACATGCTATACCCTCGAATGAGGGCATTATATGTAAAGACATTAGGTTCAAGCCCCTTAAGTTGGAGTTCTTCATACATCTTTCCTGCTTCATCCACCATTCCAACCTTCCCAAGATGGAGTATCAAGGAGTTGTAGGTATAAAGGTCAGGATTGGTCCCTCCACTCTGCATCTCTTCAAACAGAGAGAGTGCCTCCTCTATTCTCCGTGATCTTCCAAGGCCATTAATTATTAGGTTGTAAGCAACCAAGTCAGGCACAAGGCCATTTAACTTTATCTCCTCGAAGTAGTGCAGGGCATCAGCCACTCTACCCACCATACAAAGGCAATCTACAAGAATAGTATAGGACTTCAAATCTGGTCTGATGCCTTCTTTCCCCATTCTACCAAACAACTCACAAGCAGTTTCCACATCACCCACCTTCCCAAAGCCATTTATAAGAATATTATAAATGGCACAGTTAGGCTTGCATCCATAGTCCACCATTTCCTCAAAGAACTGCTTTGCTTCCTCCACCCTCCCAGCCTTTGAAAGCCCATCTATGAGAGGACCATATGTACAAGGGCTTGGAATGAAATCTCCGCTCATAAGATCATAGTATAAGTCTATAGCTTTATCTAACTTTTTGGACTTAACAAGGCCAGATATAAGAATGTTGTAAGTTATGGTGTTTGGTTTGCATTCCCTAGACAACATTTCTTCATGCAGCTCAAAAAGTTGATCAATCCTTGCAGACTTCCCAAGAGCATCAAGTAACAGATTGTAGGTGAAAATATCAGGATTACAACCAGCCTTCTTCATCTCTTCAAATAGTCCCCAAGCTATTTCAGTAAGATTGGGCCGATTGGCTTCAAGGAGTGCATCAATTAAAGCATTATATGATTCAAGGGTTGGTTGGATTCCATAGCCCTTAGTAAATCTCTCAAATAGATGATAAGCATCAAGGACTTTCTTATGCTTGCACATAGACTTTATTACAGGGCACAGTATGGAGTCATTCTGGCACACCCTACTAGATAACAGTTTTTCAGCAAATATAATGCATTGATCTATTTCTGCTTCAATTAAGATCCCTTCCATTAGAACCTCCATAGAGGTTCTATCTGTGTGTTCCTGGGGATGATTAAAAAAGTCTACAGCAATCCTGAAAGCATCCTCAATCCGATTATCCTTCACAACAACAGGAAGAAGGGTGCACAAAGTTACCAAATCAGGAAACAACATTTTTCTCATCTGATTAAATATCCAAAATGCATCATTAACTCTATTTTGTTTAACTAAACCATATATGATAGTGTTGTAAGTTGGAACATCTGGCACACAATCCATTTCTGTCATTTTATAGAACATTTCCAAAGCCATGTCAACCTCCCCATTCTTGCAAAGGCAATCTAGAAGTGTATTGAATGTTACTGTGTTAGGAGGACAACCTAGTTCTTTCATACTGCTAAATAAATCCATAGCCTTTTCCACTCTACCCTCTTTTCCTAGCCCAGATAACAATGTATTGTAGGTCACAACTGTAGGAATAAGCTTCATTTCCTTCATCCTATGAAACATTTTCCATGCCTCATCTACCCGATCAGCCTTGTAAAGTGTATCAATTAAAGAATTGATTGTTATCCCATCCGGATCGCATCCTGTTTCCATCATCTCTGAGAGTAATTTGATGGCTTCATCTACTTTCCCTGCCTTACTGTAGCACTTCATCATCATATTATAAGTTATAGCATCTGGAAAAAGGCCGCTGTTTTTAAGTCCATGAAAGATATTTTTTGCCTTGCCAAGGCTACCCAATTTTGCAAGGCTATATAGAGATGCATTGCAGGCAACAACATTAGGAACAATTCCCCTACTCTTCATCGTCTCAAAGGTACTAAGAGCTTTGCCATGCTCCCCTGATTTTCCATAATAGTCAATGAAAAGGATGTATGTGTAAGCGGTTGGCTCAGGACCTTGAGATTCCATAAAATCGAGGAGTCCTAATGCTTCACTCAATCTATTAACTCTTAGAAGACCACAAATCAAAGTATTATATGTGTATAGATTTGGTAAGATACCTTTCTTTCTCATTATGTCCAGTGTGGCAAATGCTTCATCAATCTTATCTCCTTTGCATAAAGCATCAACAAGTATTGTGAAGGTAACCACATCAGGAACATAACCATCAGCTTCCATTTCCCTCCAAAATTCTCTTATGGAGTCTAAATCTCCAGAATCAGTGAACTTGTCCAACAAGGTGATGTAAGTTACCCGATCAGGTTTATGACTACTGGACTTCATCTTCAAAAACAACTCCTTGGCTTTAGCAAGCCTCCCAGCATTACAAAGAGCATCCATTAAGACTGTGTAAGTAACCACATCTGGTCCACACCCCTCCTCCTCCATTCTCTTTAGCAGCCCATATGCTTCATCAATTTTTCCAGCACGCCCAAGTACCCTAATACATATTGTGAAGGTGTATATATTCGGCCTCAATCCCAAACTTTCCATCTCTTTCAATAGACCCATTACAGTTTCAGTGTCCTTTGTCTTCCCCACTGCTACCATAAGTGCAGAGTATGTCTTCAGACTAGGCCTAATTCCTTCCGATACCATCCTTCTATATACCAACAAAGCCTCCCTACGAAACCCAGATCGAAGAAGTAGATGAATCAACCCATTGTACGAGAAGGCATTCAAAAAAAAACCAGCTTTTCTCATCTGCTCAAGAGCATAAGGAGATTGCCGGATCCCTCCCCGTATATATAGAGCCTCGAAAATGGTCAAGTAGGTTTCCAAATTCCTCTTTATGATTTGCTTCTGCATCAAATCAAACACAACAGCCATCCCTTCCACCTTCCCATGGATTCTCAAGAATTCAAGCATATAATTGCAGGATTCAGTAGTATGGACAAGATTTGGCTGTTGGGCGACAGTTTTGAAGAACACCAGAGCCTGATCAGGGTCAGACATGGTCTTGAGAACCTCAATAACATTATCAGGAGAAAACCCCTTCCCGGGTTTCTCCTTCACTCTCATCCCACAAGATGCCCCCGTAACAAAAACACAAAAATTCACTTGCTTTTTCCTGTGTTTCTTCCAGTTCCCGATAAAACCATATTTTAAAACCTCCAAATTTCCAGTTTTTCTCCTTCCAATGGAGACACAATGGTTTAAGAGAGTTGGCTTACTCTCAGTCTGACCAGTACACCTTAAATTACCACCGGAAATCCTCACAGAACAGAGTTCCATCACACCCACAAGAATTTCCGAGGAAAACAAGAAAGAAAGAGAATAAATAAAGAAAAGAAATACACGAAGAGAAATCAAAGATGGACGGGCTTATACATGGTTGTAGTTCTCTGAATCACTACAATGAATCAAGAGAAAGGTATTTGCTTACCTATCTGTTATACACTGACCGAAAAGCAAACGGAGAAGAAGCCAAAGTTTTTTCTGTTCGATAAACACCGATAATGGCCATGGCGATTGGCGACTGCTGAATATTTGAGTTTGCCGGGTTTATCTACTTAGCGGGAGGACATTTGGGTGGTTATCTTCGACTCTTCAGTTGCCGCTCAAGAAATAAAATAGAGGAAATTACGATAGCCACCCCTGAGGGCCGAGGCCTAAGCTTAGACCCCCTCCACCCAAACTTTGTTTCGAAACAAAGAAACCTAAATTTTATAAATCCCACCACTTACCCCTGATCCTCCACCGAAGTTTATGTGAGAATAAAATTACCAAAATACCCATTTGAGATTCCATAGATCACAGGTACAAACAAATATCAAAATACTAGAAACAAACATTTTAAAGCACAAAACGTTCTCAAGGCATTGATGAACCAATTCATTGATGTTCTCAATATGAATCAATGATTAAAATGTCAATACGATACGTTAGATACAAAATAGGTTTAGGGTTTTTTGAAGTTTGGGATGAGGAAGGCATCCGGCATCCCTCTCATGTTAAAATAAAAAATAAAAATAAAAAAGTATGAATATCGATCAGTATTAATACATTGATACCCAAGGTGTTGATATCCACCCTACAAATATTTTGATCCTTGGGATGAATTTGTTGAAAGTTGAAGAAACATGTGAGGGCTAATGTTTCTAAAAAAAAAAAATCAAGTTAAAAGTATAAATTGATTTCATGAAAGGGAACATTTCAAATTAGTATCCTATACTTAAGGGGTTGTCTCAAGTTAGTACCCGGACTTTAAAACGTATCTGAACTCCTGAAAATTGTCAATTTGGTTCCTACTGTTAACAGTCCCAAAACAATAGTTTGGAAGTTCTCTCCTTCAGTTACGTGCAATTGGATTAATGGGATTACTGCAGAATAAGAAGAAAATGAGAAGAGTTCTTTGTGTTCAAAATGTTTCTTGACCTCATCATTATTGCCTTTTGAATTGCAAAACACAATCTCTTGTTTGACAAACTCCAACCATGGTTCATGGCCTTCAATTCCAAGATGCAAACATTAGGACTAGTAGTTGTTGGATCTTAATCTCATTAGAGATTAAATCCAATGGGATCAATTACATGAAAAGCACACTTGCACATATCTTGAAAAATAGTTTTTGTGCTCTTACTAAAACCAGTTTTCAGCTTGTCCCACATGGAAAATTACTAAACTTGTTTTAACTTTCTAAATAGAAGCTTATTTACACTCCTTAGAAATATAAGAAGAGAGTGTGGAGACTTGTTAATGCTCGTGTGTGTGTAGCGCAATGAAGTGCACTTTGGTGTGAGGCTGACTATTAATGTTTTCAATGGTCACGATTAGATCAGGTGTGATCAAGAGTCACCATTCAAATTTAATAGTCATTAATTATTATTGTGACTGTTCAAAGAGCCTTTTCTAAACCAACACCTTCTTCTTTTCAATGACTCTTTAGAAATTATTTAGGAAGCATGAATCAAGCAATTAAACAAAAGTTTTTTGAAAACCACTATTGTCTCTCTTTGTTCTATTAATTACTGTCTCATAGAAGGTTTGTTTGGAGATTCTTCAACTTTGTTGGTTGCAGATTCTCACCCAAGGCTTTGTTGTATCATGGGAACAGGTTTGTTTGTAACTCAACAGAAAACTCAATAAAACTGAATGAGGGCAAATAACGTTCAAAAGATAATGCCTTTAGGCATGCCTTAGATCTTCTCCTCCAAGTTTTTGTGACCCCATTTCCCAACAGTAGTAATGTAAAAAGAGAAAATAGATTTTTTCTTGTTTTTTAAATGAAGGACATTGAAATCATCATTATATTGCTAACAAATCTGAGGTACTATATGACATCTTCCAGTTCTACAATGCTCGCTGAAAAAGTGTTTCTTCTCCTTTTCTTCTTATTCAGTTTTTAGTTTCAGTCATGCTTGGAAGCTATTGTGTACCACATCAATGATCCCCATTTTGATTGCCTCCTCGGCCTTTACCTTTAAAACATGTCATTTGTGTCATTTCATAAAGGGCACTATAAAATAATATTAGATGACATCCAAAGGGCATTTGTATCATTTCACATGCAACTTAATGTCCATTAACGATTTTGAATTAGACTGAAAGTTTTTGGGAATACAGATACTATAGTGGCATGTTTTGAAGTTCCAATATTAACTTGTGACAATCCCTAAGGTTGTGTTTGGTTGCAATGTAAATAATTTTTTAGTGATGCAAAACCATGGCACTACAAATGATTTGAGTGTAAATTCTGGCCTATTTTTGTTTCAAATTTTAACTTATTTTGTTTGATTGTAGTATAAATGAAGTAAATTAAGACATCAAGTAGAATAGAGTAAAATCCAAAACAAAATTAAACAAGAATTTACATTTTTTTACATTTGCACTCTCATGAGCCTAAAGTACACGATACTAACCTTTTTATTTTGTCAGAGATGTGGTTGTCATTCCTAAGACAGGAAAAATTGTTTGATGGTGCTTCCTGGTTGCTTTTTCTTGTGCTTGGGAATGACCATTGACCACTACAACATCATGTAAGCGCATGCTGATGTGGATTTTCATGTTCACGCAATGGAGCCAATTAAAGTATCCTTTCAACAAATTTATGCAGAATATTTCTTTGATTCTTTTACTGAATATTGATTTTCTACAAAGTTGATGATCCACTGGTGGATCAACTTAAGGCTTTTTGGGCCTCTTAGTGGGCAATTGAGGTTACGAGGCAAGGTGACACCGCCTCTTCTCAAGGCATATTCCTCTCACCTTGCCTTTGACATCTTTTAAAACCATGGATAAGATATCCCTTTAGTTAATACAAGGTCTTTGCTGGTTGTTTACGCTTAATCATTTTGTAAACTCACTTTCAGATTAGTTCAATTGCATAGGAAACTCCAATCTCATTCGAGTTGGAAACTGCTTATTAGCAATCTTTCCTTTTTTATTTTTGAGTTCATATTTACTTTTAACATCCTTTTCTTTTGGTATTTTTAATAATTTATCTCATGCCTTGCTTTTAGCCTCACTTGAAGCTTTTGTATTGTACTTTTGACATGGAGAATGTCCTCCTTAGAGAAGTTCCTTGAGCATGGGGTTGATGGAATTGAGGTTGGTGAAATTCTGTGAAGATTTGCCTAGGGTGGATTTGATGGGAAAGACTAGTTAATCCCTATGTTATATGTTCGGGTGGTTGCCGAGCTGACCAAGGGTGCCATGTGGCAGATTCCATGGCCACCCTCTTTGGGCCGTGTCAACATTGTTGTCTGAAACCACATGACAGAAGAGCATGACCAGGAGTGTTTTCACACGGACAAAGAAGCTAACTCCGTCGAGGAAAGGGGAACCCTCCAAAGACCTTGGCGGATATCCTCATCCCGACAACCTCGGAAGCCCCATCCGACCAGGACACGGATGTTTGGCTATAAATAGGTGCTCTCCACTCGAGGTAAGGGACTTTTGGCTCTCTACTCACTCAACACCCCTTTTATCTCTTCGGCTCGAAACTAGCATTGTTCTAATTTACCTGCCTCGACCGACCTTGTTACTTTTACTAACTTGAGTGTTGGAGTGCCTACCCGGAGAACAACTCCTCGGGCCTCTAACTCTTCCTCTAGTTGTAGATCTCGGTGTGCAGCTTTGTCCTTCCACCTCGGCCTCGTACAATTGGCAAGACTATCTGAATGCATCCTTGATTCGACACACCTTGGATCGGACAACATTAGATTGGCATCGTCTGTGGGATATATACAAAAATCCAATTCCCTAACCTCTTATCGTACATCAAAAGCAACCATGCCTAAGAGCACATTTGAATGCTCTGGAGCTAGCTCCCCATCCCAGAGATCCCACTCATTCTGTAGCTCTCCACCTCAAAAGCCCTGACCTCAAGCAACGGTTGAGCCCGCTCAATTCTACGCCATATAGCAGAAGGTCGACCGCATCCTTACCATGATGGAAACAATTGGATAGACAACACAAGCTTCCCCAACCACTCACCCTGCCACATAGGTGCCCACAACAGTTGATCCTCACACCAAGGACCCCAAAAGGCATCACGTAGAATGACAGAAGGCCTGATCAAACTACAAGCGCCCCCAAGTGTCACGAAAGTCCGACTTTCAAATGCAGCCCCATAGTCACTATGCTCACAACAGATCCCACTACTTCGTCACTAGGATCCTAATGGAGGATTGGCGAAGGAATGACTCAGCCAGTGCTTACACCAGTCCCTACTCTCGATAACTGAATCTAGCTCGGTTCGAGACTGACAGACAACCCCTAAACTAGAGAAGTCCACAAACACAGCCTCATCTAACCGTGGCATTGAGATCAAAGACCTACAAGAACGGTTGGCTGAATTGGAATGCAACCAAGTAGACTGTAGTGTAGCTCCTCCAACAGCCCGACTAGTAGAACAATGCCACAATCAGCACCTCGCAAAAGAGCCCGTCTTCATCTAGGAGATCGTGGATGAGCCCCCCCCCCCCATCCAAATGGTGACCCCGTCAGTTCAAGTATGATGGGACATCGGACCCTAACGATCACCTCGAAGGATTCAATGTGATAATGATGCTACACGGCTTGTCCGAGGGTCTCATGTGCAAGGCCTTCATAGCAACCCTCCATGGAGTCGTCAGAACCTAGTATTCCTCACTCCCGTCGTGGTCCATAGCCTCTTCGAAGCAGTTGGAAATGCAGTTCTAATTCACCACTAGCCAGAAGCACTAGAAGACCTTGACCAACCTCATGTAAGTACGTTTGGCAAGGTTCGATGCCAAAACCCTTCAAGTTCGAGCTTTGAACCAGTTAGCGGCCATAGATGCCATCATGAATGGATTGCGCTCATCGATGTTCAACTTCTCTTTGCAGAAGAATCCTTCGTCAACTCTAATTGCACTCATGAAGCATGCACAAAAATATATCAATGTTAAAGAAGCTTAAGCGTTGTGTAGGGAGGAGGAAGACCAGCACGATTGGAAGCGGAGAGACCATGACGGCCGAAAGCTAGACCGAGAAGGTAAGAGATAGGACAACCAAGCTGATCATAGGCCAAGAACCCCACTACCGAGGTATTGTAACTTCACTCCACTCAACGCATCATAGACTAATATATTGATGCAAATCCCCCACTACAGCTTCGTCAAGTGGCCTGAAAAGAGAAAACCTAGGGCAACAAGAGAAATCGGGACAAGTATTACAATTTCCATCGAGACCATGGCCACAAAATCGAAAGCTTCAACGACCTTCACCACCACTTGGAAGACCTCTTCCAGCGTGAATACCTCTGTGGGTTTATCGGCATCAAAGAGCATAAGCCAAAAGAAGAGCTACACCGTACCGACACGCCCCCAGCCCAAGCTCCCCCTGTTGGGGTCATTGCCATCATCTCGGGTGGGATAGTCTCTGGAGGACAAAACAACTAGGCACGAAAGACCCATACCGAGGAGCTAGAATGCCAGGAACTTAGAAATGTACTGATAACAATCGACGTTGATCTCTAATGGCGATCTGACAACATTATGCAAACTCAAAATAAATGAAAATTTTCTTCAAGCGCGAACGAGCCAACACCCACACACAATTCAACCAAATTCTAAATGGCTCAGGAACATCGACCACAACACAAGCACGCTAACCTGGCCAAACTTTGACGACTGAGGCAGCTGATTCACTGCACACATGATGCAATCATGCATGACTGCAACACGCATTGACCAATGGCCATAGTGTGGGGGCAACCTTGTCAAAGACCTGACCGACCTCAAACGACCGAGGCTTGACAGTCATCACACGAAAGACCTGATCAACCACAGATGGTCGAGGATAGGGCAAGCCCTCAACGGGCACCACAGGAATGGCGGCCCTACCACATAATGGCAAGAGGATGGCTACCGAACTTTGCACACCTACCCGACTCGTAGTACGAGCAGAGCTAGCCAAGGACCACGGCTAAACTGGTCAAAGAGCATGAAGCTCTCCAAGACAAGGTGCCAACGAGCTCCCCAACAACGTTGAGAGCTTAGAAGCACCTCGACCAACATAAGACCGAGGCCACAAAGCCTGAGACCTTGGTCATTTAGCATCAAGTCCAAGATCTCAGCTAGCATAAGACCGAGGCCACAAAGCCTGAGGCCTTAGCCATCTAGCATCAAGCCTGAGACCTCGGCTAGCACAAGAACAAGGCCATGAGGACTGCGACCTCGGCCAGCCTAAGACATCTACCCAGCCATAACGTCTGATGCCGAAGAGGCAGAGCCCCCCGGTGACTGACCTTAGAAACACTTCAAGCATCGACTTACCAAACAAAAAGTGTACAAGCACGGATAATGCACAAGAGTAGAGCAAAAATTCACATTGCATTACTTAACCGAGCCATACATAAAATAAGCTCGACATCCCGAGTTGTACATTAAAAAAGGTTTAGGACAATGCGAAAAGCCCGACACACCAAGCTAGGGAACAAAAAAAGAGGGGAAAAGATCGATGTTCAACTCTCTACTAGAGGGTCATCAACACCAACCTAGTCGTCAACCACCGCGGTCTTGGTCACCCCAATAGCCTCTTGAGATGACTCCTTGGGCTTGAAGAGGCCAAACTCCTACACCACGCTCGCTACCTCTAGAAATCGACGCATCACTCGCCTTTAGCAGAGAGCAAAGCACTCATGCTAGGAGTCGGTGGCATAATCATCCAACTCATTCTAGTGGGATTCCAAAGTCGTATACTCGGAAGCTCCCTCCTTCGCCCAAGCTATCCTCGCCTTGACCTCCTCCATCCCCTTCTTCAATTGTTTGCGAGCCTCTTTTAGGTCGTGGACGCGGCTCCTTAACTTGCGGACGGTCTCATCCCTCTCCTCGACCCCCCACTTCAGCTTTGACAGCTTGGCCTTTAGTTGAGCATTCTCGATCTCCCTCGCCTCATATAACCGTCGCATCCCCCGAAGGCAGTCGACCTGGCTGACGGCTGAGCACATTGACTGCATACCAAGGCACAGTTAGCAAAAGAGGAAAAAGAAACTGGACAAAGCAAGAAGAAGTTGTGCTTACCCCCATGATTGGGTGTATGGTTGAACTCTCTAGGAAGCTATTGGTATGGTTGTCGACCTCCCTCCTAATGTCGGGGAGCATCACACCCTAGGCAAGCTGCTCGGCCACCCCCTCAATCTTAAGGGCGTCATCCGACCAAACCAACCAGCTTGGCATGTGGACATCGGCCATTTCGTCACCCTCGGTCGAAACGTTCCTCAAGACATCCCCCCTCTAGGACAACTGGCTGATTTGAGTAGTGGCCTCCTAGGAATCGACCACCACTACCTCCTCCGTTGACCTTGGCCTCTCTACTTGCTGAGGAGTACCCTCCACGGCTTTGGGTCTTTGTGGTCCTTGATGACGCACCCAAGGTCCTTACCGCCTAGGCCTTCCTTGTGGCTGTAACCTGCATGCGTTGAACTCTATCCTTAGCGCCAACCATGTCAAGATTTGCATAAGACACCACGTCAATCAAAATCAATCGAATGGAAAGAAGCTCATCGAGAAGGAACAATGTAATCTATAGGCCAGACTGAGGTCGGTCAACTGGCAGACACATCAACCCAACAAGGGTTAACATCCGAGACGATGTGTACACCTTGATGTGTACCCGCATTGCCCTCCTTATGAAAACCACCACCTCCTCCGACAGCTCAACCTAAGAAGGGTCCTTATCCTTCGTCCTTGGAATGGATAGGGTGTGGGGAAACGAACAACTTTCTCAGCGCTTGACAAAGAAGAAGCCCTCTTCCTAGTGCTTGATGGAAAAAGGAGCCCTAATGAGTACCTTGGTGTTCAGCTTAGCCGACAAGTAGTAGTAACATTGCTTGTGCTTCTTCAAGTGGAAGAAATGCTTAAACATTGGTAGAATAATTTCGCTCTCCTTGAGAGTGCAGTAGCAAAACAATCCGACCAAATACCGAAATGAGTTCAACATCAACTGAACTAGTAGGAGCCATACCACCTCAATACAACCACTACCTCGGGGTCTAGAGGGAACCTAAGGCTAATGGCTAGGTTATGGACATATACACAGGCCTCCCCAGGATGAGCCAAAGTGGCCCTCTCACCTATCCCCGAACACCTCAGCTCAAACTCCTTTGATATGCGATAAGCTTCCTAGATTCAAGCCATATCGGTCGAAGAAAGGCTACATGGAGCCAAGGAAAACCGCTCCCTGAACCTCCTCTCGAGGGCTTGCCCTTTCGACTCGTCCTCGACTTCGACAACCTCATCGGCACCAGCCTCCCGAGCACTAACTTCCCAAACCTTGGCATTTCCCCCTTCATTGACCTTGGTCGTGTTAACATTGGTCTCTGATGTAAATTCTTCTTGCCCACATAAAGTAACAAGATTGTGAAGAGCTCACTGTCCACACCAATTAATAAAAAATAACAAATAAATATAGCTTCCTGTCCATTTTGTACGCAGGAGGGAAAATGTTGAACATATAAAAATATTAAAGAATGGAGCTACCACATCTGTTCACGTCGTCAAAGTTCCTTCCATGTTCCAACACTAATCTTCACTGCAAATAAATGGTTCAGTAGTGCAATTGGCTATTGTTCTCAAACAAGCTCGACGGTCCTCTTCTTTGGCTGACACAGTACAAGAACTAGTTAGAAACTTCAATAACCCATTAATGCACAAACACAGTGCGTTCATGAGAATATACATCTAGAAATGGTTTACCTCATAACATTGTCTAGAAAGTGTATGAGCTACATCTTTTATGCAACACATGTTGATAGAGGCAATGAATAACTTTCAATATGCAGCATGCATGCATCATAAAGAATCCATGTTGTAAGAATGAATCATGAATTCACTATAATATAATATGATTAGCAAGAGAGGTGAAATGGTACGAACAGGAGTGGTCTGTCACTGGTACGTTTGAGCTACACGCGTCTTTGGGTCCCATGGAGAAGAAGAAACGTTTGAACAAGAACCGAATGCACAAGTTATGAGAATTTTTTGAGATGAAAATCTATGTGATGCTGTAATTCAATAATTTAACCTACTTCCTACAGAATCCAACGCTTAAATAATAGCAAGAATGAGAGTTTAACGCCAGTGGGTCTTTCAAGATGCCTATTCTCCTACTCCTATTAGATACAGGAAATTTAAAATTTTCAACGATAATGAGATTAGATCACAAAACGTGGCTCTTTTGGACTCCTTGCACATCACCGACCACCATGCACATAACAAACTCCTCCCCCCTTGCAAATTCCCTTGTTCTCAAGGGCTGAACTTGGAGACGGGAAAAAGGGCTTCATCTTGCATCCTTGATGCCCACATCCATGTCTTCACCTAGCTCGGGCCAGCACCTTAAATCAAAAACAATTTCTTGCAAGTTGCAATAGTGCCTGGGGTGATCTCCTTCCAATTGAAGCCAAGGATCAAAACTACGCAACATATAGGCCTGTTACTGGTCAATACGTATCATGTCGGTGATCCACCGATATGCGACATACAGGGAGTTTCGGGGTAAGACCTACTTCAGGGGGTAGCCAGGCCTTATACTAACTGCCCTGAACATGTTTGAAAAAAAGACAAAAAAAATAAACGAGTGTTGATTTTAAAGTCCAATATGCCCTATTCGGCGTATCGGACCGTATCAATACTTTAAACCTTGATTGAAGCACAACCCTTTCTCTCTTCTATCAAACATTTCTACAGGAGTGAGCTTCTTTATGGTGAATGTACTAGGTCAATTGGGCATTGACACAGGACATGTGATGGGTTCCTTGAGCAGTTGGTGGTGGTTCTCATACAATCAGGCCAAGCCTACAACAGCTGTGAGGGTGGTCGGCCAACCAGCTTGGACGTCTATGTGTATAGGTTCCTTGAGCCCAATGACGAAACAACTAATCTTCTGGGCTGTGGATAGCTTCCCACACCTGCCTCAGCAACTTCTCAAACTGTGTGGTGGTCCCTTACACTCCCTATTTATCGCTTCTTGGTGAGGTCCTCAAAAGAAGTCTTCATACTGCATGGGACCAAACCATTCATGAAGACCCTCCTTCAATGTCTTCGAATCCATCACTGCAACTTTCTCTCTAAACAGCTGATACCTAAGTTGAGCCTCATCATTCAGATGGTATGCAGCCATAGGAACCTTCTAGTGTCTTATCAAAATTATGTACTGTACCCTAGCCCTAGCCCTTGGATTGTTGATAGAGCCAATGACCACGTGACTGGTATGTCTTCCCATTTTTACCTTTTATAGCTCCACTCTAGCAAAGGTAAGACACAGTAGTTAATGAATCTAAAACTCCAATTTCAGGTTTGATTGAAGTTAAGCTAAATAATAATCTGTCCCTTAATTATGTTCTTTATGTCTCACATTTACATACAAATCTCTTACCTATCAATTCTTTTACCAAAAATTATAACTATTGTATAACCTTTTTTTCCTTTTTTACTATGTCTTCCAAGACGTGAGCATGGGGAGGATGATTGGAAGTGGATGTGAAGTTAATGGTGTCTACCTTCTTGATCAATCATCAAAGCAGGGTTTGGTCTGTCAACTTGAGTATTGCAGTCTTGATGTTAATGATAAGTTGAGTCAAATAAGATTATGGCATTGTCATCTTAGCTGTTCTCCTTCAACTCTCTAAATTTTTCTTTCCTAGTCTATTTTAGTTTGTGTCCAGTTCTAGTCTGAAATGTGGAGTCTATTACCTTTCCAAAAATTGTAGAACAAACTATTTTGCTAGTAATAAAATGAGTAAGGTTTCTTTTCATTTGGTACAAGCTAATATATGGAGGCCATAGTATATTGCATGTCTAGGTGGATATAAGTATTTCATCATCATTACTATTATTATTGTTTTGATCAGCAACTCAAGAAATTTTATTAGGACTTAAAGAGAATACAACAAGAAGTTGTTAGGAGAAAAACCCTTTACAACAAAAACAAGGGGATGTTGTACACCATAGCGGATGGGTTAGCTAAACAAGGGGTTTCAAGGGAACAGTTATTCTGGGCAGCTTTGTAAATTTTTTGTTACTAGTCTGAGGTGGTACATTGTTGCTATTGTGGAGAGGTACCAGCTCGTGCCCCTCCTTTGGGAAGGCTGTATTGTAATATCTTATTGATTTTATTGAATAAAATTCAATCATTTATCAAAAAAACAAGATGTTGTTAAGAGAAAAACCCTTTACAACAAAAACAAGTTCATTAAATCTGAAGGGCTGGCTCTTAGGTGCACATGTGCTTAAAAGTTCTAATTCAGTTTCTTCTTATGTCAGTTTGATAATGGATTGTGAGTTCTATCGTAGAAGGCGCCAAGGGAGAAGGAGATGGGAAGCTGATAACTGGTACAACAGGGAGATTTGGATGCGAGGAAAAGGACAAATTTTTCATTTAGCAAAGCAGCGGCGGCAGGAATGTGGCTGGAGTTTGGACAACCAGAGCTGAAGAAGATTAATGAAAAAATGGTGGTTATCACGGACACAGCTGGGGTGGAGGCGAGAAGAGCTTTTTTACGCAACTGCCCAGTGGAAAGATTCAGATGGGGGGAGGGAGTTAGAGAAGTGGAAGCATGGGCTAGTTATTTGTGGGTAGGAATGGGAGGGGTTAGAGTGAAGAAGATGGCTGACGAGCTCTTCCTCTTTATCTTACCTTCGAGGAACGAAGCAGAGTGGGTTCTCAAGAATGGTCCGTGGCAGATGGGCAAGAACCCTCTATTGCTTGACTGGTGGGGGCCTAGCGCGGGGTGTTTCTACCCAGAGTCTGAGACTGATATTAGCAGTGTTGAGACGATCTGGATCAGAGTTTTTGGCCTCCCGTTGATTCTCTGGTGTCCAAGCGTCATGAGAGCCATCGGAGATCTTTGTGGTGGATTTATTGAGATCGATGATTCGCCAACAGAGCACGCTACTTGTAGAAGAAGATTTAGGAGGAGATATTAGGAAGGAAAGACTGATCGGGACTATACCTAATGGAATCAAGTTAGGTAACAACTCTGACTCTTCAGTTCACAAAGCTGCCATCAGAAGATTAGGAGTTGATTTGGGCCGTAAAAGGAAAGGGAGTGACGGGGATGTTAAGGGTGATGTTTTGGAGATTCCAAGAAATCCCAGAGCATCGAGTAATCTAGCATGGTTCATGTCACAAAGGTTTTCTCAAGACCAAAAGAAGGTGTAGTCGGAGCAGGTCTGACTAACAAATACAAAAGAATTTATAAAAAAAGTAGAAGTGAAAAGTTCTTGTGTCGAGAACCCCCAAGAAGAAAAACAACCTTTGCAGGGTTGGGAAAGGAAGACGGTTGGGTTGAAGAAGAGTGAAGGGGCTTTGGAAGCTTATGTAGTTTAGGGGAGGGGAGGAAGGATCAGAGTGGCTATCTTGGGTGTGAAGGTCCGTGGAGTTGGTAAAAGTTGGGGGTGGTTCAGTGGCTGTGGGCAGTTTCATTGCTGTTGGCTTTTTACTGCCAAAGCTCTCAGTGCTGAGAGAAGTTTTTAATATTAGTCATTGGGAGGTAGTGTATTTCAATTTGTAATCTGGAAATTTTGTTGCTCCGATTCTGTTGTAGTCTCAGTGGTTTAGGTGCTACCTTATCACCTATCCAGATTGTAATTTTTTCTTCCTTTTAGTGAAATTTTCTTTTTTACTTTCCAAAAAAAAAAAATGGAGGCTTCTCCCCCACCCTCAATCTAGCCAAAAATGACCATGTCATCTGCAAATAGTAGGTGAGAATGTTAGACAGTTTTGTATGCCCTTAGCTTCAATTAGAATGATGTACATTATGAGTTTATTGTAAATGAATAAAAGTACATATTTGATTCATGTTCCCTTAGTATGTTTCTATGTAGTACCCTTAAACTGGACACTTAATGAGACTCGTGTTAGTTTAGAATGTTCACAGCCGGTGGGTCGGTCTGGGGAGACCTATCTTGATAAGGCTGACACTGATGTGCCACCAAGTCGGTTGGGGTGGCCTGTCTCAGTCGCCAGGGTGAGACCCTAGGCACATGCAGTGTAGGATCAATTGAATCTTTGAACCATACCAAATTTCCAATATTGCCTTGGACCTTGGAGATTAATGGGAAAAACTAGAAAGTTACACCCAACCCCTAGACTCGATTATGATACTGCACTAAGTGTCGGATTGGGCTGTCTTTGATGTACCAATCAGTGAGATCCTTAGCGGGGGTCAAAACCTGGGTATGTTGGGACAGTCTGAGAATTCATC